CCAGCGACTTAAGACTGGTTTTGTGGTCCAGGGTCACATTTATATATATATACACATATATAGATATATATAGATATGAACACTTGGGTGTGTAAAACATTTAGGTGCATATTTGGTTTAGTCACACACACTTTTTAATGAGCAGAGTACTTCTTTGGTAAATTTGTCTCCTAAAAGGAGCATCTGTAGACATTTACAGAGATTATAATATATAACACTTTCAAAGCAAGCATGAGTTCAGTGCTTGTTAAACAAGAACTCTTAGGGTTAATATTTATCAAACTTTTCCAAATACTAACCCCCGGTTTCACAGACAAGGCTTAAGCTAGTCCCAGACTAAAATGCATGTTTGATCTGTCTCAACTGAAAATATCTTGCTCTGACATATCTTAAAATATGTCAGTTTCATTGTTCTGTGTCAAGATGCACACCGGTAATGTTTTCTTCTATGGCATTTTTGTAAAAGTTGCTTAAATATCAATAAAATAAGGCCTAGTCCTGGCTTAAGCTACTGTAAGCCCCGTTTGTGAAACCGGGCCTATAATTTATTTTATATATATTTACAGCCTGAGCTCAATTACATATTATATAATCTCTCCACCATTAATGTGTGAATGGCGGATGCTGTTAGAGTTTGCCACTCTTGGTTTAGAAGTCTTAATGCGTAAACAACTAATCAATCCAACAGATGGAGCTGAACCGTATCTCTTTATAACTTTAAAAATCTCTAAACACTCTCATTCTCTCTTTCACTCCTGCTAAGTCAGTGCACATAACATCAATAGCGTTTTTTTTCTTCTTTCACACTGTAAATCTGTTAAAAGTGATATAAACTGAAGACACAACATGTACAAATTTTGCCCACAGGCTAAAACACATGGCTTAAATATGACTGAGGTTTGGAGTCTTACGTAGGGATTTGTAGTTTTAGTTTTTTTTTTAAATACAGTATGTGTGGGCAGAAAGAAGTTGGTTCCTTTGACTAAGGGGATTGTCGGCTCAGCCCATCCACTGAAAGCTCATACCTGCCAAACACACATAAACACACACATATTCACATCAAAAGTTCTGATATCATGTTCTCACACACCTTTGGCTAAATATTAATGAAAATCATGTCTTTTGTTTTTTTTACTGTGCCATTTTCACGAGAAAAAAAAGGCAAGAAATGTCTGGGTCATATTTTACAAACTTTATGTATATACTCTGTATACAGAAAATGTAGCTTATAACGCTCATTACTTAAATGTAAACAAATAAAGTAGTATGATCCCTTCTGAAGCATGAGTTAATAAATCAGAAAGCAAAAAAAAAAGTTTATTTTTACTTCAAAACAACAAAACTAGAATACTATTTATTATAGAATAATTATTATTATAATCATAATTTTCTTATCCAAAATGATGCATTTTGAGAGTGATATTTAAATAGGGTACATTGTGCATCAGGTTAAATTTTAAATAACCACTGTAAAGCACATTTTATGCATATATTACAGTAATGGAAATATTCTGTATACATATCACTGCAATACACTACTGAATAAAATCATACGAATATGATGATATTTATCACTGCCATACAGTAATCAATATCATCATATTCATATGATTTAATGGCTTAATCTTTGTAAATTACATAAAAATGTTACCATTGCGTTGAGCTCTTTGATATATCCTCAGAGGTCAAGTCAACTAACACCTGGGAGTAACACACACACACACACACACACACACACACACACAATTTTTATATATGAATAATTTGTTCTTGGAAACCAAAATACAAACTAGAAAAGAATATTCTATAATGTACATTAAAGGGGTTATATGATGTTGCTAAAAAGAACATTATTTTGTGTATTTGCTGTAATGAAATCGCTGTTTATGCAGTTTAAGTTTCAAAAAACACATTCTTTTCCACATACTGTACATTATTGTTTCTCCTCTATGCCCCGCCTTTCTGAAACGCGTTGATTTTTACAAAGCTCATCGGTCTGAAAAGCGAGGTGTGCTCTGATTGGCCAGCTATCCAGTGCGTTGTGATTGGCCGAATACCTCAAGCGTGTGACGGAAATGTTATACCTCTTACCATACTGTGATGTCCTGTCCTGCCGGAGACAGGGCATCTTTGGATTGTGATTATAATGACTTGTACTGTCTTTTTAACATTGTAAACATAAAACCATGTCTGCGTTTGTGATCGGAGAAATGACAAACAACAAGCCCTACTCTACACTGCTCAAAACGCGCGTTTGAATCAGTGGCAAATTCTTTAAATATAAAAAATGTACTTACAGTCTGTGAGTCAGAACAGCC